TTTGGGGTGGTGAAACTAAAACTATTTACCAAGTCACTATTCTGAAACATTCAACGTGTTATGGAACACCTGCTTCCATCAGAGCCTAACCACACAGGTATGTGAGAGAGCCTTTAAAATCGACATTTGTACCCTAAAATCCTTTCCACTGCATTCATCAAAGGACACAGTGAACATCACTGGGTTATACTGCAAACAGCAGGAGTAGTACGTTCGGGACAAACACAAAAAAACTCTCGAGGAATTCCCTGCTGGTGACCAACCCATCACCCCACCATCCCTGCCAACATAGCCTCAGTTAGTAACAAGTAGGTAAAGAACACTAGGGCTGCAACAACTAAATCAATTATGAGAATCGTTGGCAACTAGGGCTGCAACAACTAATTGATGAGAGGGAGAGATAGATTTTTATTTTAATGCAACCAATCGATTCGTTGAAAAAATTAAATCGGGCAACTAATCAATTATGAAAATAATAGTTAGCTGCAGCCCTATTGGCAACAAATCTCATCATCGATTAGTTGCGGCCACTCTGCTCCTCCGTTCTCCTCCCCCGCTGGTGCTGGCTGCAGCAGTCTGCGTCTCTTTCGATCCCGCCTGTAACGGCACAGGCAAAGGGGATACAGACAACTGCAGCCGGCAAAAGCGGGGAGAAGAGACTCTGGAGAATAATTTTCTCCGTCAGGTCCCCCCTCTGCTGATTGACAGCAGGCAGTGGGGGGCTGCAATAGCCAGTGTTCTATTGGCTATTGCAGACTGGCTATTGCTCTCAGCAATAAAGTGAGAAAAATTTAATAAAATGTTTAAAAAAATAAAGTTAAACTAAAATTTTTCAGAAAATATATAATGTTGGGGGGTTTTAAGTAATTTTCAGGCCTACAATGTGGAATATAACATGGGTACAAAAAATAAAAAAAAGGCCTCAGTCATGAAGGGGTTAAAGGAAAAAAAAGGACCAGTCTGAAAAGGCTTAGGGCAGAAATCCCCATTTAATTCATGCTGACACTGTCCTTCCTTCTGGAGGGTGGCTACTTTTGTTCCTCATGTTCCCTGTGGAGCCACCCTCCAGAAGGAAGGACAGTGTCAGCACCAATTCAGAGATGATTTGAGGTACTGCACCCTAGTGATACACAAATAAAATACATTTTTGTTAATAGGGTACTTGAATGTTTAATATTTATTTTTGGAGCTATGTTAGCAGGCAGGGGGAAAGCCCCTAGGCTGTTTTTTGTGTTTGTACCTTGTTTCCTACTCCTGCAAGTGGCAGTATTACCCAGTGGTCAAGATCTACAGATCTTGGCTGTGTCCTTTAATAAAAGGAAGAGAAAATCTGTTTAGAGGAAAAAAGGTGCCACAGGCAAAAATCTTCTATGAAGTGAACAACAGCTGCCCAAAACACTAGTTTTGTTTTTATTACGCCTTTGTTATGGCACTTTTAGCAAGTTACTTAATCACTAAAATTTCTCAAACACAGCTTGACTTCAAATTCAAGGTTTTAACAGCTCATGAATAATGCATTTCAAGCATGGGAATTTCCCTATGAAATCAAGAGTGCATAGTCTATTGCCTATGAAGTCAGAAGTTTTCCAGTAATATGGTTAATCTTAAAATGGAACTTGACTCATCAATTTAATGGTCTCCCAAAACCATAACTTTCAAGTCATGTCAAATTTTAAGGTTGCCAGTGCGCTTATGTCAGATCTCACCTGAACTCTCAAAGCCCTCAAATGGTTGGTGTCATGGCTGATCATATTTGCATCACCATGGTAACTGCAAAACCAAGAGAGGCTAAGATGGCACCTTCCTTGGCTGTAAAGGATAGGAGGGTGCAGTTCTGGTTTAAGGTAGAATGGATTTAAAAGACCCCCATTAAACCCATTTATTCATTCAGTCAATAATTAACAATTTAAAATTAAATTTAGGAATGTGTGCCATAACTTGTAAAATATTCTGAGCAGGACTGCTGAATAGTGTTTCCTCACTGATTGATGATTGTTTAAATCTACCAGTGAGACAATTTAACCTCCTGTGTACGAGTCATTTGAAGAAACACAGGGGATATTTTAAAGATCACACACATAACAAATGAGCAATATGTGTCTCTTCAGCTTTACTACCTGCACATTCTCTGAGTTGAGCCACACTGGGGACCAAAAAGGCAGCCACTCTACACAGCTGTTCCATGGCCATGCTGGTAGCTCATCATTTTCTATATAATGGTCATTTTTGTCTTTCACAGTCAGTGTAAGCACAGAGAAATTTAAAAATCAGTAAGACTAATAGAAATCCTACCGTTTCTTAAACTATAGCGGTATATAAAGAGGCCTTCCTTTCACAGCATAAATGGGCCGAATGAAAGCTTAAATAGGATGATTTTAAAGCATTTCTTATATCACTCTGTGGGAGAAACGATAAGAATGCTCAATAAGCATTTGCCAAAAAGATGTTCTGCAAATTAGTTTTTGCTGCAAACTATTTAAAAAGTAAAATTTCAAAGCAAAACAAGGACAATATGTCTAAAAGGTGTCTTGCCTAGTAAAGGAGACCCCACTATCAATGGATAGTAATAAAGGTAAAACTGTAAATACAAATTTTGTACAACAATAAAAAAAAAAAAAAAAAAAAAAAAAAAAACACAATACCAATAGCATTCAACATTATTAGAAGAATCCTAAACGGTTTCACGGTTGAATCTTTAACTCCACCCAAACCTTGGCTAGCCATTGGTGAACTAAAACACTTTTTTTTTTTTTACCAACGCTACACTGCAGTAGAAAGATCTGTGTCCTTGCCCCATCCCCAAACTTCACTCCCACAACTGGACTCCCTAATTATTTCACATAATATACAATCAATTGAAGGAGGGCAGTTTTTTCATGGGACTCACCAAGATATATATGAAGACCGTTAATGATTTAACTTGACAGAAACTGTACCAAAACTAAAAAAAACAACAATTTTTTATGAAGTTGGCCTCTTGTGTAGCGTTAAGCTTTTCATAGTAATGAATTATCAAGTTAGCTAAAAACAGTACAACATACTTTAATTGCACAATATACTGATGGCTATGGGTCCCCACACACCTTGCGATTATCGTACGATAATCGCGGGAAATCCCGCGATCGTACGATGATCGTAAGGTGTGTGGAAGCCGTGCGACCTCTACTACTGTAAGGTCGCACGACTTTAAACTTACGGACATGTTTGAAAACCCGCCGAGCATCGTACGATGTTCGGCGGGTTTGTGGCATGTCCGTACGATAACAGCCGCACGGGCCGGTGTGCGCAAGCGCACACTGCCCATTCGGCAATGCGGTCATCGGAAGCCCGCCCCTCAGGGGGCGTGGCTTGCGATCATCGCAAGTACGATCTGCCTATGCAACATAGGCAGATCGTACGTTTTTTTAAGTACCTTACAACCATCGCAAGACAAAAGTCTTGCGATGGTTGTAAGGTGTGTGCCCAGCCTAACCCAAACCTTTGCATATTAAATGTACACAGTTCCCTGACTTTTCAGAAGAAAAGCACACCATAATGGTGCTTCATGGAATGCCATGTAATGCACAGTTAGGAATACTTTTATACCAACAGATCCAATGGTATTAGAATATATTACAAGCGGCAGAATATACAGCACCACTGAACTAGCAGGTTTTAGGTGTTTTGCGGCACGGTTATTCTCCAGTGTGACCAGTTTTAACTTTACATTCAGCCCTGATTGCAGCAAAAGATTCCATTGGCTTCCATCAACTGCTAATGGCTAGAGGCCACCTATACTAGAGCTGTGCCTCCGCCTTACTCCACAGAGAAAATAAATATTCTGCACCAGGCCAACTCAATTGACCCCAGAGTGTAATGGTGCCTAGCAGAATGTCCCTTAATACCTAAAGCCTTGCAAAAATAAAAGACAAATAATCTCTTAACTGCTTTGACTATATTGTACCACTTTCACAAAGAAAATAGTTGTACTTACTCCATTGACATAACGACACATTACAGCAATGAGCACATACAGCTTACTGACACTGCAAAGTGTGAGGCGCAAAGTGCAGAAGTCTATAGAAAGGCATCAGATTGGGGTTTACTATAAAATTAATTCTTATTGGTTGTCAAGCATTTCTGCACTTAGCTTTACTAAATTACCTGCCCGCTATCATTCTTTCCATGATGCTGGCACACAGTTCTATACGTTCTACACAGGTGAGAAAATACAGAAAACACAAAGCGTACAATAGGTGCGTTTAGTAATACCTCTTCTACATTACAAAAAAGGTAGAAGAAAAGGGGATCTCTTATCCCCAGATCACAGAATGAAAGAATGCATGGCCTGGCCCAGTTTTTTTGCCACTGGGTCCCATGGGGAGATTTCCCCTTATTTCCGATCTCTGGAGCACAACAGAAAGCAAGGATAAATCTCTCTAAAGTAAGGGGGGAAGTGGAAGAATTCTATTTTAGACAGTTGTCAATAGAAAAGGTGTTCTGATTGGATTTTACCTGTATCCCATTCCATGGACAACTGTAAGATGTTCGACTTCGACTTCCCATCACTGTCTATCCTGGTCACAATGTCTGTCCTGGTTACCAAATACAGAGGCAGAGATTCCCGACAGCAGCAATATAGGACCTGGACAATCACTGTGAAGCACTGTAATAGTGCTTGCTACTGCAGTGTTTTACAGGACCCCCCTGGGCCAACCAGGTCTACAATATGAATACTTACACTGGGCCAAGTTGGAGCAATGCAAGTATACATCAGTATTTATACCTGGAGTTCAGCTTTAACATAGAACAGATTGTTATTTATTGTAGTGTTAATTTACATCTACATTATTTTTTTTTTTTAATTGTGTACAGAGCGATATAAAGAGACACATATAAATGTACTAAAAAACAAGTTGAGTAAACAACGTTCACAGAATACTTGCACTGTGTGATTTCTGACGAGTGAAACGGTCGTCCATAGCAACTGGCTTCGAACGAAAGCCACAGGCTGTTAATAGCATCATCCGCCTTTTCATAAACCAGCTTTTCATTACCAACAATTGTTAACATTACAATACATTTCTTACATTCCATGCTTGCATACGATACGATTTCCTTATATTTCATTAGTAGAGATCATGAACTGTAATAGACGCTATTACTAAGGCTAATGATTGTGTAGCCGGAGCTCAGGACGGCATCTGGCACAGACAAGAATTCATGTCTGTGAGTCAACTTAAACTGACATTTTACTTTTGTGTTCTGTGCGTAATTATGAGGCAGAACAGTCTGCAATCCAGTGGATAATGATAAGAAAGAAAACTTTCTTTGAAGATTAAGAGCCCAGTTTTCTTTCAGGGTATTCGAAAAATTCTTCTACATAGGCTGAGAACATTACAAATAACACGAGGATAGGATTGTGATTAAACATAAGCCAATTATTCTATGCAACAAATTGCTCCGAGGATTGAGAAAAAACAAAATAAAACCATTTTCACAGAGTTCTTTGTAGAAAATTAAAGTCAATTTTCTGTGGATTATTCCAGTTTTAATATCCAACATAGAATTAAAAATATAATTAAAAGGATATGCACACACGCGCATCATGTGGAATTATACACAGAATTAAGTCACTCTTGTATCTGCAGCCATGATCTGGGATCCAACCGTTCTTTTATGGACTTCTGCCTTGGTGCTGGGGTCGGTCTGGATGGACAATTCTCTTCACTGCTTGTCTGAAGCTCGTCATTATTGGAGACATTTTTATCAGACGATACTGGCTTTCGAGGGGCAGTCATTGGCTTCTGGAACTGTTGCATGATGGAATTCAATTTTGCATCGAGAGACTTGCGAGAAAAGCTTGATCTTGGCCAAAGGTTCTCCTTTTCTGATGGGTCTGGGATTTTTTGTTCTCCAACGGTATATGGAGTCTTATTGGGTGGTGGTGGTGGGGCCCTTCTCTTCTTCCCCTTGACATCTATGACATTTTCTACTTCTCCTTTTAAAGGTGGAGAATGTGGGTTTTTTTCAATGTGTAGTTGGTGGTTACCATCAAATAATGCTGCCCAAGGAGGAGGAGCAGAGTCTTCCTGACCAATAAGGAACTGCCCATCGGTTTCTTCAATTTTCCTGTGTAGTATATCCGTTAAGCTTTCAAACTTCATAGGTGACCCAATGCCTAAAAGTATAGTTATAAACACATTTAACAAAGGTGTTAAAGACATGAAAGAGGTCTGCGCCAACATTGTAACAGAGTGTTGCGGTTTTCTAGTCACATTATAAAAGTTAACCTCAAAATTACCTTTTCAGGATGCTTAGGACAGGTTGAATACGCCATTTTATTTTATCGGACATCTGCAGCCTTATTACAAAATGAATGCTAATCTGAATTGCAATAACCCATAGTTCCCCATTTCATGATGCCAGACCACTATATTATACGTTCTAATGGATTAGTGCACTTGTGAATAAGCATTCTGCGTTGAAGGCCACGCCAGAAAGTCTGAATTTATTAGCAAATCATATGTGGCTGCAAAGGGCTCAAATCAGAACAAACGCGCTGCATGCAGAAATGTGATTTTTAGCTCATCGGCACCTGCTTTGTGATTCACTTTTCTCAGCAGACTACAATGTGTTGTAGCATGACCCAGGATTACATAAAGCAAAGGAAGGGCCAGAGTGGAAATCACAGAAGCAGCATAACACAAATTAGGCCAGGTTTATAGGCACCCAACAGAAGAATACAGTCAGTGCGAAGGCAGCTGTAGGAGCCTGCTATTCAGAGTACACAAGGCTTTAATTATGGATTGCCTAAAGATACATAACATCCAATATGGTTTATTGTTCCCTTTAACCATGAACCTATGTAACAAATGCCACTTACTCATATCATGATACACAGAAGTTGCCTCTTTTGTTAGAAACAATGGTGGTTTTCGCGGTGACATAATCTCTATTTTCATAAGTTCTTCTGAACAATGCTTCCACTGACCTGATAGAGGAACAACAATGTTAGCAGGGCAGCAGGGAGACATTTTCATTTACACTTCAAATACGTTCTGTGCAAGCTAGATGTTTCCTCTGAGATTTTTGTAAAATATCTAGAATTACATTCAGCAAGGCCAGAAACAATTTTGCGGCTAAAAATAGTGATTTTTTTAAATATGTAACAATAACAATGTATAAGTGGGGAAGGAAATTGTTAGGATAAAACAAAAATAATCATTTTTATGCAACAACACAAAACATTTGACAGGTGATTCTGCTTAACAAATTGCAGCTTTCATTTTGTACTCTGCATTTCACAAATTATACAGCTTAGACCAAGACACACTTCAAAGTTCAGGCATATAGTTAAAAGAACAATCCATATAAAATGGATATTGCAATTAACAGGGTTTATAGGTTTATTAGGTCTCTTAGGGTAAATATCTCCAGCTGTAACATGCAATGAGAAATAGAATAAATAAAAGAGGACCATAAGTGTGGAGATCATACTGCTGGAGACACTGATGGGAAATTCAACCTGTCAGCATCCACCAAAATATCGGTTATGGATAAAAAGAGTCTTTAGAGTGAACCTTTCATTTAGCTATACAGGGCATTTTTGCTTATACAGCAGCTTATACTCACCTTTCTTCACTTCCATGCTGCTCCTTTTTGCCATAAGGGGAGGAGCAAGAAATCCCAGAGTAAGTCCAAACCAGCTTGTCAAGATAAAGAGTTAGAGTAAGTTACATGCTCCAGACGTGCAGGGGGTCAACACATGCTCGCCCGTGCCTGGCGTGCAGGGGGTCAGCACATGCTCGCCCGTGCAGGAGGTCAGCACATGCTTGCCTGTGCCTGACTTGCAGGAGGTCAGCACATGCTCGCCCGTGCCTGACGTGCAGGAAGTCAGCACATGCTCACCCATGCCGGAAGTGCAGGAGGTCAACAAATGCTCACCCAAACCTGAAGTGCAGGAAGTCAGTATGCCTCTGAGGCTACTTTGCTTACGACTCCTCAAAAGTATATTAAAAGCGTGCAGACCATCCACACAAAGCTCCCATGTTTGGCAACCATTACATTTTATGGTCTGAATTCCAGCCATTCAAGTATGACAGAAGGAATTAGGTATTCTGGGAGATGAGGACTCATGTGTGTACCCCAGCTTTGTTTTTGTTTTCCTTTTTACAACTTTAACATCTAGTTATTTACAGAATATTGTGCATTGACGACGACGACGTATTGGGGAACCTGGCCTTGGGGCGGCAGGGAGAGTAAATTCGGCCCTGGCAGCAGTCATTGCATTGTTCAAGCATTGCACTGGCTATTGATTGCAACTTCTGATATATTTTCCCAACTAAATGCCTTTGTGAATTTATAATTGGAGTAGACTTGTCCATGACAGATATATGGAAATAATGCATTAAAAGCTTACAGGAGTTCAGAGACCTAGGTGCTAGGATGAAGGAAAGGACCTCCACGGTAGTTTTCTCATAGATACTGCCGGTGCCAAGAGCCACTCCGGACAGACAGCGCGAGTTGAGGGAGCTTAACAAGTGGCTCCGGAGCTGGTGTCAGAAGGAAGGTTTTGGTTTCCTGGAGAACTGGGCTGACTTCGCAGTCGGCTATCGGCTCTTCAGCCGAGACGGGCTGCATCTTAATGGGAAAGGTGCAGCATTCCTGGGGGGGAAAATGGTAGAAAGACTGGAGGAGCTTTTAAACTAGAAAGTGGGGGGAGGGTATAAAAATAAAATTACTTAAACTAAATGTTGATAATTTAATCATAGGTAAAAATAACACAGAAAGTAGTAAAAAAGGAGTT